CCGTACAATTGCAAGTTAACATTTTAACAACAATTATTTAAAAATAATTATAAACAAGTAAATAATATTATTCAATTAAATTAAAAATCAAAAATCAAAAGAAAACAATTTCTCTTCGTCTCTTTCTCTTCCTAGCCCCACCCCACCCCACCCAAACTAACTGGCTCTTCCCACACCCCCATCGACCCACCCTCCCTCCGTGCAATGGCAGACGCACGTTGGGACAAGAAGGCTGGCATGACCCTTGGGATGCCCGAAATACAGCTATGGACTCCATGAGCGACCCCTTGGACAGCAGAAAACCGACCCTTTGTGTGCACACAAGGTGCTCGCTGAAAGTCCCCTATAGGTAATGGAGAGAAAGAAAGTGTTGGGGAGGGAGAGAAGAGAAGAAAAAAATGAGAGAGAAGAAGAAGAAGAAAGAAAGAAAGAAAGAAAGGGAAAAAACAAGAAAAAATAGTGAAGATAGAGGGGGATGGAGTGTTGGGGAGGTTAGGGAAGAAAGAACCAGGGAGGAAGAAGAAAGAAAATAATAAAGAAAGAAGGAGAGAGAACGGGAGAGAGACAGAGAGAGAAAGAAAGAATAAAAAAAAAAGGAAGGGGAAATATTAAATAAAAGGAAAAAATGAGAGAAAATGAAAAAAGAAAAAGAAAAAAAGAGGATACTATTCGATACGATATAACACCAAACGGGATGAGAAAAATGGAATCAATGTCGTGTCAAATAGAAATGGTATGATATTGTATCATACTATTTATTATGCAACACCGAACAACATGGTACGAGATTGGCACCATTTGAGTTCGGTATATGTTTTTCTATTTTGATGCCCAGCACTACCTGGCCAAACGATGTCATTTGGCTCATTCCATTTTTAAAAAAATTGAACTAACTTAAAAAATATGTTATTTTGAGCCAGGCTTTAAAAAAAAATTTCTATACTTTTACACTAAGACCCCTTGACTCGAGAATCCTAGATCCGTCACTACCTCTGTGCACACCGCCTTCAAAGTCATCGCAACTGCCCTTGCTGTCGTTGGATAGAACCAAGGGCAAGATCTCTATCCTCATCAACTGCCTCTTCCTCTTGCTTTCCTCGGAGACCTCTCTCTCAGTAGCTACGCACACAAACAGCCCATCTGAGGGATTCAAAAGAGATGAAATTGCACTTTCTGGATATGAGTTTGATGAATTCGAAGGATATCAAATTGACCCATGGTTCAATTTTGCTTCTTTTTTTTTATTTTTTTATTATATATATATATATATATACCTTTTTCCCGTTTCTTACTAAAAATTATGAGGGATTCAAAGGAGATGAGACAGAGCCAGGTCCTGATTTGAAATCGGAACCCATTTTATCATTTGGGCTCTGACGACCTAACCACCTTGATTTTGCATATCGAAGGTTCATGAGGGGTTGGGTTCGCGACGATGTTGGCATCGATGCTTTGTGTATAATTGTGCGGTGATGGGATGCTAAGATGTCTGGTTTCAGTGACACTGTGTGTGCTGTGTGGAATACTAGGTGGATTTACAATTTTAGCTTTTCAAGGAGATGGGGTTCCAGCTCGTGGGTAATCTCTGCCCTCCTTTTTTGGGGAAATTTAGGTTTTTATTTAGAATCATAGATACATTCACAGAAGGAGCCCTGAAGAGTTGTTTTTCTTTTTTTTTTTCTTTTTTTTTTCTTCTTTTGAACTTTATTGCGTTGTGTCTTTTTTCCCCCTTTGGTAAATTTTGAGCTTCTGAAAGGTTGGCATAATGTAGAACAGGCAAAGGTGAATAAACTGAAGTACTGGTACATGTTTTAGGTTGTGATCAATGTAATGAATTTTTATTTTTTATGGAGATTAAGGATTATTAGATCAATTTTTTCCTTAAAAAATTCAATCTTTAAATTTTATGGGTTTTGGTCATGTGAATTGTGTTATATTTAGCAAATGAAATGGTGATGGGTTGTTGTAATTGATGTTTTAAGTTGGGTTCCAAATCTGGGTTTGCAAATATGAGGGCAAAAGAAATGGTGATGGGTTGTTGCTACCGCCATTGTTGTGAGCTTGCTTGAGCAGAATGTTGGGCAAGATGATGGCTGTGACGGAAAAAGGGGGGTGGGGCAGAGATGAAGAGGGGGCTAGGAAGGGGTGAGCAAGGTCGTCATGGTGGTTGGTTGGGTTGGAGAAGAGAGATGAGATTTTTTTTTTCTTTTTTTTAATATTCATTTTTTAATGATTTTAATATGATTTAAAAATTATTTTAAACATGTACATGATTTTTTTTTTAATTTTGTCCACGTGAAAGTCCACGTCATCAAAAAATGGGTCACACTTTTGACACGTTAGCATATAAAAGACTCACTACCAGTTGGGCTAACGGAGGGGGAAAATTGTAAGTTTTCCGCGATGTTGAGTATGTACTCGTAAATGTTCTCAAAATCGAATATGAACTCATAAATGACCCTATAAATTGAGAAGTTTACTGTATTTTGTCCTATTGTTTATTATATTGTATTAGTCGGTGATGGTTTTCCATTTAGGCACATGGCACGTCGTGCCGCGCGCTCTTCTCTTCTCCTCATTATGATTTTTTCTTCTTATTTTCTTTTACATCCACCGACATGCAAAACAGGAAGGCCACTTCTCTTATTAGTAATAATGGAAATGCACCTGACACACTTTGACCAATCAAACGAGAGAGAAAGAGGAAAATCATTATAAAAAACATCATTTTCTCTCTCCCCAGTCAAATATTCCTCCGTCGATTTGTTTGGTAAAAAACCCAATATGTGAGTGTATCCAACAACAACAAAAAAAAATTAAATAAATAAAAATTGTGAGTGTAATTCTAACTTAATTCATATTGGGTAAATTCCACTTCCACGATCCTATTACTTCTGTTATTCTAATTGCAATCTTATTTCCAAATTAATTTAATAAAACGTAAAATATTTCAATAAAAAATTGGACTACCTCCAAATTTAACGTTAATAATTACTAGAGATGGCAACGAAACAAATTGGGCCGGGTATGTCATTGCCATCCTTCTTATTTTCATTAATATAATTTTTTTTCTTCATAAAATGGATTATAATTTTATCCTCGCTTAGTCTTGAACACCATATCTAAAACTTTCTCCAAACCCAACTCCGTATCCTTTTTGATATCATTCATATATATATATATATATATATATAAAGCAAAATGTAGAGAATGGTAAAATATTTAAAATACCAGAAAATACCCTTAGTTAATACAAACATTAAGAATTGAAATTATTAATTAAATGAGGATAATATGGTAATTCACACCTTTTCATATTAATTTAAAAAAAAAGAAAAAAAAGATAATAAATCATATTTTTATAGAACACAACTCCCCATTATATTTTTTAATTCTAAAATAAATATAATTTTTTTTTTAAAAAAAGCCTCTCGCTGCGACGAGACTAGTGATTTATTAAGAGCAAAGCTCCACGAGACCTTATCATACAATGCATTCATGTATCATACGATATTGAATCATTACGTTACGGGATGCTTTTCTCATGCTTAAATTTCCTTCTATGAATTTTCATTATAACCGCTTTTACTAGAAGGGTTGGTTGCTGGTTAGTCTGTCGGCCAAATCCTCATGTGTAATTTTGCTAGCCTAATTCTCTAGAGCGGTGCCTGTCACCCTTAGTCAAGGTTCTAATAATAAATTATCGCTTCTTATCAAAAGAAAATAAAACACACTAATGTTTATTTTGACCAATCCTTCCATTGACCATGATAAGCTATCAACCGTGCAGTACTCTAGTGCATAAATTAAGCACTACGTTGAGTAAACCCCAAACCTCATTAAATTTACATCTCAAATTTAATCATTTCAATTAAAGCTCCCTAGGTTAGATCTCAAGCATAATCACCCCCAAAATAAAATAAAATAAAACCACTGAAATACACCCATTTCATGATAACGATGAATCTATTGTTGCCAATTTGATTTGTTGATTTTGAATTTTTTCTATTTTAACCCGTACTTCTCTTTGTTCATCTCATATTCTAAGTTTACCCAACTTCTAATTCAAATTTTCACAATTTCTAAGAGAACCTCATTATCTTCCCAAATTACCCATAAATACACACACAACAGAAGGAAAATAATTTAAAAAAACTCATCAAATCGCATCCCACAACCCACACCCCGTTATCTTGCCCATCGCCACTCTAAGTTTACCTCAATCCCACATTACTTAAAGAGATAAAAACACTGTTTTCAAACTCAATTGACGACCTACAAGCCATTATTTGTATACCGTATTTAGGGTTTGTGAAGAAAAAATGAGAGTGTAGTAGATTTCTTGGATTGAAAGAAAAGAGTAATTTGGCAATAAGGTGTAGATGAGTTTATGTTTTTGTATTTTTCTAAAACTTAATATGAAGAGTGGTTAGGTGTGTGTATAGATGTATTAGGATTAAATATTAAGTTAGATGACTTTTTTGTCTTTTTATATAATAATAAAACTTAAAAGCTTAATGATTAAGTATTATGATGAACAAAGAAAAGTGTGAGGTTTAAATAGAAAAACTCTTCAATTTTTTTCTCGAGGGAAGTGGCAATTTGAATTTTGTTGATCCTCATTTTATTTTTCAAAATTACGGAAAAGGAAAAGAATTTAATGGACCAAATTAAAGACATATACGAAACTACCCTATCCGCAGTTTGCGGAGTGCCGGATTTACAGTAGCTTGTCCTCTTTAACGTCTCTCACTCTCTCTCTCTCTCTCTCTCTCTTTCTCTCTCTCACTCTCTAGGAATGACGCGTAAATAAACTGGAAGTTCTTCATAGTATACTGTGCGATTCATAAGAAAATAATAAAAATAATAATTATTCGATTTAGAAAGAAAGAAAGTCCTCTCTCTCTCTCTCTCTCTCTCCTAACTCTTTGCTATTAAATCTCTTCCGCGTCCTCTACCCTTTTGCCAACTACACTTCATTTAGAAAGAAAGAAAGTCCTCTCTCTCTCTCTCTCTCTCTCTCCTAACTCTTTGCTATTAAATCTCTTCCGCGTCCTCTACCCTTTTGCCAACTACACTTCACTCTCTCTCTCTCTCTCTCTCTCTCTCTCTCTTTCAAGCAACCATCAAAATCAAATACCTCTCTTTCTTTTTCTATTCTTTTCTCTGGCGATGAACATGGAGGGATAACCCTCGCAGCTTTTGCTCTCTCTCTCTCACGCAGAGATCAGATCTGCTTCACATTGTTCTCGCAAACAAGGTACCTCCAAAAGATTTCAAAATTTTCAGCTCTGATTTCTTTATATTCGATGCAGATCTGTTAATTTGTTTCTTTCATTCCATGGCTGTTACTTTGTTTTTCTTAGCTAAATTTAGATTCTTGGGAGACTCTGACTCGTTTCCCTGTGTTTCATTGTGGTCAATTGGTTGTGATTGTTGTATTTAGTAATCCTTGCCTTTCAATTTGCGTTGCCAATTTCCCTTTTTAGCAACTTCATAACTTTATATTCATATTTTCGTTTTCTGGTATTGCTAGATCTAGGCAATCTTGTTGGATCTGTTGAATTGCATTGAATTACGTTGTTGAGTAATTTGTTTTTGTTTTTATGTTGTTTCAATCTTCAGGTGTAGATTATTACGGAACACTTGTGCTGGGAAAACATGGCGACAGGGAAATATACTAGAGTAGACAATAGGAGGTCTTCGGCGAGTAGTTACTGCTCGACCGTGACCATTGTGGTGTTTGTAGCTTTGTGCTTGGTCGGGGTTTGGATGATGACCTCGTCGTCTGTAGTTCCTGTTCAAAATGTAGATGTACCTCAGGAGAAAAAGAGCGAGCTCAACGAGCAAGACAACAATAAGGTTGATGTGAAGGAACAAGTGAGTGACAACAATGAGGGCACTACCAGGCAATTTGAAGATAACCCAGGTGATTTACCTGAGGATGCAACCAAAGGAGACAGCAGAGATGGTGCTACTCAAGTTGAAGAGAAGGTCGAAGGGAAGTCAGAGGAGAAGACTGAGGAGAAATTTGTTGAAAAGACTGAAGACACGCCTGAGGAGAAAACTGAAGAGAAGAATGAGGAGAAATCTGAAGATGGGTCAAAAACTGAAACAGAGGACGGAGTAAGTAAAACGGAGGATTTAGATTCTAAGGTGGAAAATGGTGAGTCGAATCAAGAAGATGGAGAGAAGAAGAGTGATGGTACTGAAAATGATAATGAGAAAAAGTCTGATTCCAGTGACGATGACAAGAAATCGGATGAAACTAAGGATACCGAAAACGTGAATGGTCAGATAGAGGAGAAAGTGGACCTAACTGACACTAAGGAGTCAGATGGTGAGAAAAAGGAAAATGGGCAGGCCAAAAACCAGAGTAGTAATGAGGTATTTCCTTCTGTTGCTCAGTCAGAGCTGTTGAACGAGACTGCAACTCAAAATGGGTCATGGTCAACTCAATCGACAGAGTCAAAGAATGAGAAGGAGGCTCAACTTTCTTCAAATCAGCAAACTAGTTACAACTGGAAACTCTGCAATTCCACTGCTGGGCCTGATTTCATCCCATGCCTTGACAATTTGCAAGCCATTAAAAGTCTTCATAGTACCAAGCATTACGAACATCGTGAGAGGCACTGTCCCGAAGAGGCCCCCACCTGCCTTCTTCCTGTGCCGGAAGGATATAGACGCTCAATTGAATGGCCAAAGAGCAGGGAAAAGGTATATAACTGAATTAAAATGACAATTTATTTCCACATTAACTCTCTCCTTTCTGAGATAAATTGATAAGGTGCATTGTTGCAGATATGGTACTACAATGTTCCCCATACCAAGCTTGCGCAAGTTAAGGGACATCAGAATTGGGTCAAAGTTACTGGTGAATATCTTACTTTTCCTGGTGGTGGAACTCAATTCAAGCGTGGTGCTCTTCATTATATAGATTTCATACAAGAGGTGAATACTTTTATTTATCTGATCCTTTTCACATCCAGTCTGTCCACTTGTATTACTTTGCATGCCAGTTTAGTTTCTTTCTGTAAATCTGCATGCACATTTACTGCATTTTCACAATGTGTGCATTCAATCCTTGGATTTTCCCCCCTAATATTTTAATCAACTCATGCCTTGAGGAATATTCTTTGTATAGTCAACAATGTGTTGCATCCAATCTTCGTAGTTCTGGGATGTTAGACTTGAGACCTATTTATGCTAAAAGCATTCCAGGGCTCACTTTTATAAACTCTCTATTATAAGATCAACGTGTTAGTAATTTCATCATTTTAACTTGATGGTCTTTGGGAAATAAATAACTGTTTTCAAATAATTAGTTTCCACTTAGTCTACTAGTAACTGTTCTTCTTAGTGCTAATCAAAATTACATTTTTCTTAGCTTTAATTGTCTTTATCTTGCAGTCTGTTCCTGATATTGCATGGGGGAAACGATCACGTGTCATATTAGATGTTGGATGCGGGGTTGCAAGCTTTGGAGGCTATCTCTTTGACAGAGATGTCCTTGCAATGTCATTTGCCCCAAAAGATGAGCATGAAGCTCAAGTGCAGTTTGCACTTGAAAGAGGAATTCCTGCTATATCTGCCGTAATGGGCACGAAAAGGCTTCCTTTCCCCGGCAAAGTTTTTGATGTTGTCCACTGTGCCCGCTGCAGGGTTCCTTGGCATATAGAAGGTATTCCAATTACTTGATTTAATTTGTGATGACTAAATGAAATCAAGGTCATCTGGGTTTAGATTGTTGTTTAAATTTCTGTTTCCATATGTGAGAAGTAAGGGCCCTGTTCGGCTGAGTTTTCCAGAACTGTTATAAATTATGTTGAAAAGCAATAATAAGTCTTCTGATTTGAAAACTTGAAAGAGATTTTGAAAATATTGCTTTGATGCCTTTTGTTTTCAAGCTTGTTTTCTGAAACTTCTTCTGGAAGAAGTTTTCAAATCTTGTTTGGCTGCATCTTAAATACTGTTTTCTACTTCCATGATTTTTATGATAGAAAAGTGTTGGTGAACAAAAACCGAAGAGGCTTCTACATTTGGAAGATGTTTAGCCAGCCTTTTCTGCTGCAGTAATAGTTAGAGGGGGCTTATTTGGTCAATTCTTTTGTTTTGGACATTCACATTAGGTGTGATATGCAGGTGGTAAGCTTCTATTGGAGCTGAATCGTGTATTGAGACCTGGTGGTTTCTTTGTCTGGTCTGCTACTCCAGTTTATCAGAAGCTGGCTGACGATGTTCAAATTTGGAATGGTAAATTATTTAAAACCTTGTATCTTTAGAATTTTTTATTTGGACTTGGTTGGTGAATTCTAATGAGGCAATTTTGTGGGGAACATTTACAGCCATGAAGGAACTAACGAAAGCGTTGTGCTGGGAACTTGTGTCAATTAATAAGGATACAATAAATGGAGTTGGTGCAGCCATATACAGAAAGCCCACTTCAAATGAGTGCTATGAGAAAAGATCACAGAGCGATCCTCCTATCTGTGCTAACACTGATGATCCAAATGCAGCCTGGTACTTGTTATCTTTAACTTTGTTTTTTCTTTCATATATTTGTATATTTTTTAAATTCAATGAAGAAATTGGAACATTAATTTTCCGGACATTTGATTTAGTTGTTTTCTCATTGATTCTTAAATCATGTGAAAGAATACTATGATGCATTTGGAAGAACACAACTGTTCTCTCCATAGAATTGGAAATGGTGTTACTGTATGCAAACCTGAAGATAACTATAATTTTCAAGCTCTATAGCTGCCCTAATCCATGGTTGATTTGTTGTACACAGGAATGTGCCACTACAAGCATGCTTGCACAAAGTGCCTGTAGATGCAAAAGAGCGTGGGTCTGAATGGCCTGAACAGTGGCCATCGAGGTTGGACAAGACACCTTACTGGTTGTTAAGTTCCCAAGTTGGTGTTTATGGGAAACCTGCCCCTGAGGATTTCACTGCAGACTATGAGCACTGGAAACGCGTGGTGACCAAATCATATCTAAATGGAATGGGGATTAACTGGTCATCTGTTAGGAATGTTATGGACATGCGAGCTGTGTACGGAGGGTAAGTGAAATGGTTCCTTGGTGTTATAATGTTATCTTCAATAGTGTGTTTTGATGGGTTTTGCTTGATGCATGTAAAAATTGACAAACTTTATAGTTTCTACTGTATCATTTTTATCTTTGTTGTTCTTGAGCTTGCCAACGAATATGTACAAGTGGGATATTGAGTTAGAGGTGGTGGTTTCTTGATTATATGTGTGATGTGGCTTATTGTATCTAGTCCTTTTGTCTGTTTCCATTGGTGCTGACTTCTGGTTGTGCTTGCAGATTTGCTGCTGCTTTGAAAGATTTGAAAATTTGGGTCATGAACGTGGTCTCGGTAGACTCTCCAGATACACTACCCATAATTTACGAACGAGGTTTGTTTGGTATATACCATGATTGGTGTGAATCATTTAGCACTTACCCCAGGTCCTACGACCTTCTCCATGCAGATCATCTGTTTTCCAAGCTTAAAAAGAGGTATGCACTATATACCATTTCTCATTTTTGCAGCTGCAAAGCATTCATTTCATTCACCAATTCTTTTTGCCGTCTAACTTCGGAATGGTTTATGAATGACAGGTGCAATTTAGTGGCTGTAGTTGCAGAGGTTGATCGGATCCTTCGACCAGAGGGAAAGCTTATCGTGAGAGATGATGTTGAGACTATTAACGAGCTGGAGAACATGGTGAAGTCAATGCAGTGGGAGGTTCGCATGACCTATTCCAAAGACAAGGAGGGATTGCTTTGCGTCCAAAAGTCCTTGTGGCGGCCAAAGGAGTCGGAGACACTCAAGTATGCCATTGCGTAAGCATGCCCTGGAGTGGCTGGCTGCTAAGAGGATATTGTTACACATTCTTTTTTGTACTGGTTGTTAATTGAAAATTCATGGTAATTGTACTTTATATTAGCCATTGTATCATTTTAGTTAGGCCTTGTAGTAGTCTATTGATTTTTTGCTACATTTTTCTTTCTTTTTAAAATTTGATGTTTGGAGTTCCATTGTAACACTACCTTGCTGGTTATTGATGGAAAAAGAAAATGAGAACATTCTTGCAAGTGTAAACCCGTGTTTTTATTTTTTTTTTTCAAATATAATATCTGAGGATTTTTTTTTGGTCGAATAATATATGAGGATTTGGATTGTCCCTTTCGAAATGCCTACCTAGATTGGTAAATTAATGTGATGTGAGGAAAATGGTTCAAGATCTAGGCCATATTTGGTGCCCCGGTTATGGACACTTACAGGACACTTACCAGGTTTTCAAAATCAGAAGAAAATAAAATAAATAATGTTTTTAACACCTGACGGGGATAAAAGTTGTTAAAAGTCGAGCCTTACCCGAATATTTAGTAGTATAAGGGCATGCTCAGAGTAGCTTGTAGTGTTTCTCTTCTCAATGTTGTAACTTGTAAATGAATCCGAAGTTTAATTTCTCGAAAACTTGTTCGGGAGACTTGAAAAAGAGTAGATTGCAAGAAAGGAAAAGGAAAGGTTTCCTGGATCAAAGGGGGGTATGCCACGTAATTAAGAAGTGATTTTTGTGTTGGAAAAGAAAGTTGCTTAGATTAGGTGATGAGAGTTCCTGACTGGTGAGAGAGAGAGAGAGAGCGAGAGAGCGAGTCCCTGGGGAGTTTAATTGGTGAAAATGAACCTCTTCAGCTGCCTATTTTTATGGTTTTTGTTTCTATTTAATTTTAGGCTATACAAATACCAAAATCCTCCAACACTCACCACCAATTTTCCTTTTAACAAAAGAAAAGAGAAAAAATGGAAGATGAGAGGCTAAATGGGCCAAGTGGAGGGAGCCCAGAAAACCCATGTGGTGTAAAGAGCAGTGCAAGTAGCAATAACAACAGCGGCAATAGCAATTATAATAACAATAACAATAGCAATAAAGAACAAGATAGATTCCTCCCCATAGCAAATGTTGGTCGCATTATGAAGAAAGTGATCCCAGGCAATGGAAAAATCTCAAAAGATGCAAAGGAGACTGTTCAAGAATGTGTCTCAGAGTTCATAAGCTTTGTCACAGGAGAAGCTTCTGATAAATGCCAGAGAGAAAAGAGGAAGACCATCAACGGTGAAGATATCATCTGGGCCATCACAACCCTCGGATTTGAGGACTATGTACATCCATTAAAGCTCTACCTCCAGAAATATAGAGAACTTGAAGGGGAAAAGCTAAATGTTCCAAAGCAACAAAGATTGGAACAAAGGCAGCTGCAGCAACACCAACAAAACCACCACCACCAGCAACCAGAACAACAAGAACAACATACTTTAGTATCTGCTTACGATAATAGTGTATATTCTTCCACCAATCTCCTCTCTCAGCCATCTTTCATAGCCGCTGCCGCCGCGGATCATCATCAGACAGCCTTCTCTTTGCCCTTCTCCCCAACTTCAATTCAAAAACAATTGCACCCACAAGATCATATTGATTCAGTTGGGCATTGGTAATGGTAAGAAGAAAAGAGTAACTCAACAAAGAGAAGAGATGGTTGTTTTCTTTTTCTTCCCTTATATCATGCTATACAAATGTAAATGTTGATATATACTTATACTTGGCTCAATCTTTAGGAGGTGTATTTGGAAAGAGCTTGTATGTATAACATGCATAAATTGCAAAATGAAATGTGATGACGAAGCTTTATCATGAATTCTTGCAATTATGAGTGCTATTGTTTGTTGCTATGCATTTATGATTAGCTTTGTGGAGTCCAAGAACGTAATACATTAAGTAGCTACTCTATTTATGTTAACTACTAATTTTTTTTGGATAAATAATGTTTTACTATTTAATTTATTTGGGTGAACGAAAAGCCTTTTATGATGATAGTTCACCTACAATGTGCTTTAATTGTGGTTCATTTAGTGGGGAAGCAATATCAAGAGGTATGTGAAAATTTGACCACTGCTATGAAGTTTGGAATTGGGGCTATGGGACAAATATTAAGGGCAATGGGTTGAATGAAGGTGTTTATCCTATGGTGTAAGAGCATCCACAATGGGCTCCCTAAACCACCTCCTTAGACAAATTTTAGGGAGGAATGATAAAAATGCAACTCCAACCACGCTCTCTATCCACCTCCTAAAATAGGGAGTCCTATAGGAGCTCCTAAATCTGAGGAGAGAGAAAGGACTCCTAGTTGCTCCCTATAATTTAATGCTACTTTATTTAATGAGTTTTTCAAACCTTTATTTAATGCTAACCATTTTTTATTTTATTTTTTAATAGAGATGGACCAATCAAAAAAGAGTTATATCATTTATGATTCTTCAAATTAGGGAGTACGGTTGGAGTTGAAATTTTTTAGAGAGCTCCTAAAATAGCTTTCTTATATTCTTAGCCAAATTTTAGCTAAAAAATAGAGAGCATCATTGTGGATGCTCTAAGTGTTATTCTGTTGTCTCGCTCACATCGTTGTTACGTTCATGTTCGGGTAAATAAGTTCCTAGTTATACAGTGTGGGGGGTGGTGTATTTTTGGGGGTGTAAAGCCTTTTACATCCCATTTACACTTCTGGGGGGTGTAAATACGTTTTTTGCTCCAATGGGAAACATTGTAAATTTAAGATGTATAATTGATTTGCTCCATTTTTCGTCTCTTTTTTCCACCTGGGTCCCACCTACAAGAGATGTAAAAATAGATGTACAATTGCATCTATATTTATATCTCATGGTGGTGATGTAAATATACATTCATTTACACCCCCCTTTTGTGGGTGATTCCGATCACTCGGGGTGTATATTTAATATACATCTCATCACCCCCCAACTGTGGATGCTCTTACAATGTGTAGTACATACTAGAGGTGTCATACGGGGCAGGCTGATCCAGCACGACACGATATGGCATGAGCACGAATATTAATGGGGCGTGCTCGGCACTGCACGAAAACTTGGGTCTGACTGGGATCAAAAAATGAGGTCTAATGGATTGGGCCAGTCCATGGCCTGAGGGCCGGACCGGCTCATAACACAGAAAAAAGTACAAAGTAGTCGCAATGCCAAATATGAGTACAACATCTCCAGTAACCAAACACAAAAATAAATTAGTTTGATATTGAGAGAATTCCGCATGTCAGAAAAACCTAAAAACCCCAATTCGGCAGACAAGAAGCATATATACTCGAACCTACAATATAGATCCACCGCGCAACGGCAGTAACGGCAAATCCACATTTAAAAGTTGAACACTAAATACATACAGCAGCAAACTCCCTATTGAGTTTCTGAGAATTATTAGACTAAAATAAACACAGAAACAAGGACACCGCACCACTTCCTCTCCAGCAAACCAAAGAGACTCATAGCCCCAACATGGCTACACCTCTTATGTGATGTCTTTCATTTTAGGGAAATTACTTGGGTCCTTAATTAATTAAATATATTAACTACAAATTAATTAAACAACATTGGACTTGATATCTAATAGTACATATGACATATACACTTCTCTTATAATCGAAGCAAGACATTTCTTCACATATTAACATAAAAATGCTTTAGATTGTTATAAAAATTATAAATTTCCTCTTTCCGTAAAAGCCAAAAACAAAACCCTTATAATATAAATAATATATACAATAAATTAGAAACTATTTTAAGGTAAAGTAAAATTAAATAAACAAATAATAGGTAAATAAGAGTAGAATAAATTAAGATTATGAAAGCAAGCCTGGTTTTAGGGTGAAACATGTCAAAGACGCTATCCTAAAACCTTTGTAGCCTCCCCACGTGCAGGTATTGATGGTCTACAAGACTCCAAGATACGACCCTCAATACACATGCTTAAGTTCGCTATGAGCACGTGCACAGTTGGATATAAGTCTCCACGTCAAAAAGTCGTTGCCCAAAACTAATAATATAATTATATAAAGTATATGAAAGGTAGAAGATTAGAGAATAAGATTGTGGTATGTGGTATTGTGGTAGTATTTGTGTTCGTGGTTGTATCATGCAGTAGTTTGGTAGTTTGTCAAATGAGAAGGATCATGAGTGACCTTTTATAGGCATCTAAGAACATGTAACATCCACCACATTAAACTAAAAAATTAAGGCATTCAATATAGAAATAAAACCTGAAAATAAATATTTATAATCCTCATAATAAATAAATAAAATTATAAAAAATGACAGGACCCACCCCTAATTCCTCGAAACCCGTGACGGATTTTGTGGTATTTCTGGCATGAAACTGATGTTGGGCTCACTTACTAACCATATCCTCTTCTCCAAATCAAAAGCAAAGAGGGTCGAGACTTTCTGCAGAAATTAAGGCAGAGTCTCCCCTGAAAAATAGACTTTCCCAAATTTTCAACCTGTCAATAACAGTAAATAATCCCAACAATAGCATGCACAATGTAGAAACACATAATTTACATAATAGGCCTCTGACCTTACATCCAACCCTAGCATGGGCAATAACAGAGCAAATCTAGAGAAATTCAGTTTACAAGCAAAAATAAAGTTCAACGGAAATTAAGACAAATAAAAGTTATCCTACAAGAGTTCGGGGCTCGACAGTTCAAGTCTTGGCTTTGCAACTTGGTTCAGGTCTAGTTATTGCCTGGGGGGGCACAAAACAGAAAACTTGTGAGTTGACAAAAATAAAGTTTTGTTGTAATTGAAGACAAGATACTAACCCCACCATTTGGAAAATGATGCTAAAAACATGCAATTGAAACTATTCACACGTAACCAATGTGAAATTGAAGTACTCTCACACCCCTATTATAAAATAATAATATCCAAGTCAAATCTTTTGACTCCAACCAAACCCATTCTCGAAACATAAGCTTATAAAATGAAATATGTAAGGATAGCTTCAAAATAGTTAAACGTATATATATACATATATACAGTCCCCTTCAGTTGAGGGATCCCTCAAATAGTGTTATTTGAGGGATGGGGCGGTCAACCGTTGGATCTCTTTTAATGAGCTTGTGTGGCTGTGATTCTTTTAAATGTTTTAACCCGTTTGAAAACTCCTGACCCACCACAAACTCCACTTACGCTTGGGAAGGACGTACGTTGGGAAACCAAACGTCTTTCTTCTTCCTCCAACGCTTGGAGACCTTTCACGCAGACCAAACGATGTGAAGAAGAAGACTCACCATCGTCAGTTGAAGAAGAAGACCCACCATCGTCAATTGAAGAAGAAGACCCACCATCGTCTGCGACAGAGGTATGTTATCATTGGTTCTGATTCTTTCAATATCTGAGCCATGGTTCTTCGATTTGGACTTCTGGGATGAGTTCTGATATGGTTTTAATGGGTTTGAAGATCACTCCTCCAGATTTGTAATGGTTTTTTAAAATTTTGGAATATCATGTGTATGACATCTGAATTGAGTTCTAATGGGCATGAAGAGAAAAAAAAATACAGGGACAATTTCATATTCTGATATTAAATAATGCATGGGCTGTATGCCTCATAGTATTATTTAGTTTTGTGTTCCTTAAGATGGGCAATTTGGTTTACAGAGAATTGGAAGCCAAAACTGTCAGCCTTCACT